ACATTATTCTACAAATAATTGCGAAAACCTTGTGCATTTGATAAGTGTTCGATAAAGCTATATCAGTTAGCCGCGGTAGTTTTTGCTCTTAAGGTGTGGAGACACTACTTATATGGAGTGAGGTTTGAGGTGTTTAGTGACCATAAGAGTTTGAAGTACTTATTTAACCAGAGGGAGCTGAACATGCAGCAAAGGAGGTAGATGGTATTCCTCAAGGACCACGACTTCATGTTGTCTTACCACCTAGCAAGGCAAACGTGGTAGCCGATGCATTGAGCAGGAAGTCATTGCACATGGCAGCAATGATTGTGAAAGAGATGGAACTGATTGAGGAATTTTAGGACATGAACTTGACCATAGAGGTGAGACCGGGGAGTTTGTATCTTAGAGCAATGACGATTCACAATGACTTCTTGGTGTACGTTTGAGATGCTAAGCAGGGATATGCCTTCTTGCAAGATATGATGAGAACGGGGTGATTAAGTTTCAGAACTAAGTGTGCATTTCCCAAGTGGATGAGTTAAAGCAAATGGTACTTGAGGAAGCGCATAAGAGCAGAAAGAGTTTCCACTCCGATGTGACTAAAATGTATCAGAATCTTTGAAAGAGTTTTTAGTGGAATGAGATGAAGAGGGATGTGGCTGAATACGTTGCTAGATGCCTAACCTGCCAGAAGGCGAAAGTAAAGCACTAGTGTCCACCTGGGTTGCTACAACCGTTGGAGATCCATAAGTGGAAATTGGACAGTATTTCCATGGACTTTGTTTCTGGGCTGCCGAGGACTAGGAACAACCATGATGCCATTTGGGTGATAGTGGGTCGGTTGACTAAGGCTGCATACTTTCTCTCGATCAACATGAAGTATAAGTTGGAGAGACTTGCGAATTTATATGTGAGGGAGATAGTTAGGTTGCATGGAGTGCTGGCTAGCGTGGTATTTGATAGAGATCTGAGGTTACCTCAAGGTTTTGGGAGAGCCTGTAGAGGGCGTTGGGAACTAAGTTGAGACTTAGTTCGGCTTACCACCCACAGACCGACGGTTAGGCAGAGAGGACTATCCAATCCCTGGAGGATCTTCTGAGACCCTGCGTGATTGAGCAGCAAGGAACTTGGGAAGAATGCTTACCATTAGTGAAGTTCACTTATAATAACAATTATCATGGTAGCATTAGGATGACGCCATTTGAGGCCTTGTATGGACGGAGGTGTGGAACTCCTTTATGCTGGTATGAGAATGGAGAGGTTACTCTGTGTGCACCTGATATGATTTAGAAGCAGAATGAACAAATCAATATGATCAAAGAGAAAATGAAGGCTGCACAGGACAAGTAGAAGAGTTACTATGATAAGAGGAGGAAACTGGTGGAGTACCAGGTGGGTGACCATGTGTTTTTGAAGGTCTCACCTGTGACCGAAGTTGGGAGAGCTTTGAAATCTTGAAAGCTATCTCCTAAGTTTATTGGACCGTTCAAAGTGCTGAGTAGGATTGGTCCTGCAGTGTACCGGGTAGCGTTGCCTCTGAATCTGTCGAATCCACATCTGGTGTTCCATGTGTCACAACTCAAGCAGTATGTGTCAGATCCTTCCCATGTGATTGATCTCGACCCAGTTCAAGTGAGAAAAGACTTATCTTATGATGTGTATCCGGTGAGGATAGTGGATCATCGTGTTAAACAACTGAGGGGTAAAGAGATCTCATTGGTGAAGCTGATATGGAGCTCAAGTGATGAGGGAGATGCCACGTAGGAAACGGAAAGTAGAATGATAGAGCTGTATCTAGAGTAGTTTGGTTACTTGGGTTGAATTTCAGGGACGAAATTCCCTAAAGGAAGGAAGAGTTGTAATGCCCTGGATTTGGTAATAATATTTTAATGTATTAATATAAATGTATATATTGATTTTCATGTGTTTGATATGTGTGTGAATACGGGTCTAAGCATATGTGTTGGTTATGGTTGAACTGAAATTGTTGAATATGACTGGACTGGATTGAAAAATAAGCTAAGTGTGTGTTGCAGGGTGTTCTCGCTATAGCGAGTGGATTCTCGCTGTAGCGAGAAGGCAATGAGAGAAGAGGAGTGTGATGAATCCATATTTTATTGGATTTTTAATTGTCTTTTTAGTGTCCCTTGATAGAAAAAGTAGACTTAGGAAGTGTAAATAACATAAAACATCATTTTGGTCAAATATCATTGGTTTCTTAATTTTTGATTAATTTATATTGATTTACATAGATATAATTTGCAATTTTAATCATTTGAATAATTGTGCAGGAATTCCAAGGCTTATTCCATGGATTTCTAGCCTTTGAGAAAATTTAAGTTGAAAGTGACCACTTTGAATTTCATAGTGGACACTACAGCAAGCTAGAACCAGAGGGTAGACCAAAGTGATAACTTTTGGAGCCATAGTAGACACTACAGAGACCCTAGTTTGAAGAGGCGCTGCACGTAGCTGATGAATCCATATTTTTATTAATATTTTAGTGTATTTTTAACCCATTTGATAAGGAAAATATATAAGAAAAGTAGAAAAACTCAGAAAAATAGAATGATTGAAACTTTTCTTTTAATATGTAGTTATTTTAGCATTTGTGGAATTTATGCTTAGATCTTAAGAAATTAATCTTGTTTTTGTAGGAATAATCTGAGCAAAAGTCATGAAAATGGAAAATAAATGGAAAGGAAGAGAAAGAATAGCAATTCTGGACTCCAAAACACAAGAACAATGGAATGCAAGCTGGGCGTGATCACTATTGTCAGTGAAAGTGATCACTCTAGACATCAAAGAGGAATATACACTGGGCGTTAACACTTTTGCTGGCGAAAGTGAGTGTTCCAGAGAAGGTAAAATTTCAGCGAGCTCTGCGTTAACACTCTTGCTGGCGAAAGTGAGTGTTCCAGAGAAGGCAAAATTCCAGTAAGCTCTGCGTTATCACTTTTACCAGCGAAAGTGGATGTTTTAGAGAGGAGTGTATTAAGGCAAGTTGTGCGCGGTCACTCTTGTTCTCGAAACTAATCACGCGTAACCATTCGACTTCCTGCGTTGCAACTCTTAGTAGTGGAAGTGATAGTTCCAGTTTCCAAAAACTACATGAGCTTCTGTGTGGCCACTCTTATCAGAAAGAGTAATAACGCACAAAATCAAGATTTCTATAAATACTTGTTTTAAGCTCAGAACTCGGGATCTTTTGTTCATTTTCTGTTTTTTCTGTTAGATTCTCGTTGAGAGAGAGTGAGAGAGAGGACTGGGGTTGAATTTTGAAGCTCCAAGAAGAGGCATTGGATTGGAGCTCGTGGAGATGGTTTCTCTAATTTTCTTCTCTTCTTCTCTTTCTTTCTCTTTCTCTGTTACAATTTTGCTTAATTCTTTGTAGTTAGGAGTTTATGGACCTTGAACTGATGTATTGATTTGACTTTTGCTTCTGAAATTTGAGTTCTTGGATTAAGTTGTTAATTCTACTGTTATTGCAATCTTTGAATGGGAATTCGTATGATTAATCAAAGAGGAATATTTGCCAATGGAAGTTGGGTTTGCTTCTCTGATCTGAATTAGCAACCAGAATTAGGGGTTTCTTAGGGATAAGGGAACCTAATTCTACACTCCTAAGGTTCTAAGCCTTAATGCAACTTGATATTAAACTTCACCTAAGGGATTAGGGTGGTTTAGTTGCTTGTTAGGGTCAATGATTTAAGGGATTAAACTTTGACTATTAATAAGAGAAACCGATTGTCAATTAACCAATTGCTTGAATGTTCAAAAGCATAATTGAATTAATATTGACATTCTTGTGAAATAAATTCCTAACTATCATTCATTCTTGTCTCATCTCAACATAATTGTCATACTCTATTTTTGCTGCAAGTTTCTTACCTTTTAATTGTTTTTAATTCTTACTTTCTGAATGATACAACTCTTCCAAAATTATTTAGCTCAACTAGTTGTTGTTCTGTGAAGTGGTACCTGATTTCCTAATTCCCTGTGGAGACGATATTCTGATCTTAAAAATTACTCATTACTTGTTGCAATTCCTAGTGCACTTGCTAGTGTTAGAGATTGTAACAATAAGTTTTTGGCGCCGTTGCCGGGGAATTTGTATTTCAATATCATTAGTAGCAGAGAGGTAGCTAGATTGAGCATTTATTTTTGTTGTTTTGCTTCCATATTTTTCTGCATGATTTTTTTTTCTGCATTTTGTGTAGTTTTCTGCACTACTTTTTGCTATTTTCTGCATTTTTCTGCATAATTTTATTTTTCATTTCTCTGCATCATTTTCTATTGAATTCTATATAATTCTACAGTTGCTAGACTTGAATTTTATATGCTTTTGTTGATATCTTTCTGCATAATCTTTGTTGTGCATTTCTAAATATTGAGTTGTAGTTTAATTTGTTGCATTTTGATTTGTATATGCGTGGTAAAAACAAAATAAATCAACTCTGGTCTTTGATCCTGACATAGACATAACCTTAAGAAGATTAAGAAAAGAGGCTAGAGCAGAAAAATTTATAGGAAGTGATAGTGAATTAGAAGTTGTCTATTCTCCAGAAATTCAGAACACTCTTAGAGTAAAAAGAACACCTACACCTTTGAGACAACCAAGTCCAGAAATAGAGATAGCAGAACAGAATAGGATTAGAACATTAGGGGGACTATGCAATTCCTAACATGCAAGGTTTTAATTCTTCTATAATTAGGCCAACTATCCAAGCCAACCATTTCGAGATTAAACTTTCCCTATTACAGTTAGTCCAACAAGATCAATTTTCTGGTGGAAATTCTGTGACCCTAACCTACATATTTCAAACTTTTTGCAGCTATGTGATACCATAAGAATGAATGGGGTTAGTGAAGAAGCCATCAGACTAAGATTATTTCCTTTTTCCTTGAGAGATAGAGCCAAATGCTGGTTGCAAACTCAACCACAAGGAAGCATAACAACTTTGACAGAACTTGTGGATAAGTTTCTAACTAAATACTTCCCTCCATCCAAAGCTGCTAAGCTAAGAGAAGAAATTACATCCTTTGTGCAGCAGGAAGGAGAATCCTTGTATGAAGCTTGGGAAAGATACAAAGAATTATTGAGAAGATGTCTACACCATTGCATTCCAGATTGGATGCAATTGGAAACTTTCTACAATGGAATGAACACATCAACAAGAACAATGGTTGATGCTGCTGCTGGAGGTTTCTTAAACACAAAGTCTTTAGAAGAAGCCCAGAAGATTATTGAGATGATGACATCTTCAATGTACCAAAATTCAAACTCAAGAAATCAAGGAAGAAACTCTGGTTATGAAGCTAAGGTTTTGGAAACCTTTCTTGCACAGAACCAGTTACAAAATTAGATGTTTTCAGAGCAAATAGCTACCCTAACTCAACAAATTAGCAATCTTCAAGCAGGGAGTATGCCTGCCAGTCAGCTAAGCTGTGATTTCTATGGAGGAAACCATGCAAATGGTGTATGCGAGGCATCTACATGTGAACCACAGGAACAAGTGAATTATATGAACAATTTTCAAAGACAACAATTCTCCTATCCCCCTAGATTTCAATTTTTGAATAATAGAAATCAGCAGTATTTTAATTGGAATAATCAATATTTTGCTTCCAAGAATTCTAACTCCAATTTACCTTTTTCTAATGCAGGTCCAGCAACACAAAAGTCTTATTTTAAGAGGAATCCATCCACTCAGCCTCAAGGAACTTAAAAATTTTCCAAACCTATGAATAAAAGGTTGACTGAGATGGAGGAAACCATGCTACAGTTTATGAAGGTGACCCAAACAAGCTTCAAGAATCAAGAAGCTTTTATGAAGAAGTTGGAAACTCAAATTGGACAGTTAGCTTAACAATTATCCAGCAGGGATGAAGGAAGATTTCCAAGCAATAAAGTGATCAATCCTAAAGAGCAATGTCAAGCCATCAGTACAAGGTGTGCAGCTGTAGTTGCAAGTCCAAAAGCTGCAGAAAAGAAAGTTAATGATGAAGCAATAGAGAGGAGAATTGAACAAGATCTGCAACAAGGAAATTTCAAATTATTAAAGAAAGATCATTCAGAAGAAAAGATAGAAGTTCCTATAAATTTTGGGAGAAGACCAAAAAGCAACTTTTTCAAGATGCTTACAAGCCAATAGATCCAGAAAAATACAAGAGTCTGCCTTATCCTCAAAGAGTTCAGAATTCTAAGCAAGAGGAACAATTTGAAAGGTTTCTTAATGTTTTTGAGAAATTACAGATTAACATACCCTTTGCAGAAGCCTTGGAGCAGATGCCTTCATATGCAAAATTTATGAAAGAACTACTTTCCAGAAAAAGGAAGTTAGAGCATGACAAAACAGTACCCTTGATAGAGGAATGCAATGTCATTCTCAAGAGGAAGATTCCTCAAAAACTAAAGGACCTAGGATCATTCAGCATTCCATGTGAAATTTGGACAGTGCATTGTTGTAAGAGCATTGTGTGACTTGGGAGCAAGCATAAACTTGATGCCTTTAACTATCATGAAGAAATTAGGCATAGAGGAAGTGAAGCCCACCAACATCACACTACAGCTAGCTGATAGATCATACACTTATCCTTATGGAGTAGTTGAAGATTTATTGGTTAAAGTTGAAAGTTTATTTTTCCTGCAGATTTTGTCATTTTGGACATGGAGGTGGATGCTAATATTCCCTTGATCCTAGGAAGGCCATTTCTTGCAACAGGGAGAGCTCTAATAGATGTACAAAAAGGAGAACTTATGCTTCGAGTTCAAGATGAGAAGGTAGTGTTTAATGTATTTGAAGCATTAAAATATCCAGTTAAAGATAATTCATGTATGAGAATAGACATTTTGACATTATCCTATTGATAAATTTGATGAGAATTCTGTGTTGAGAGAAATAATAGCTGCAGGGAGTATCAAATCTGAAATTCCTAAAGAAGAATATATCATGAAAATTGAGCAGCAATTAGAACCACTACCAATTCTAAATTCTGCAGAAAATTTAGCCAAAGAAGAGCTGCAGAAAGAAATGAAAGAAGATCAAAATCAGAAGCTAGAGCTCAAGCAACTACCCTCTAACTAGAGATATGCTTTCTTGGATGAGAGTAAAAAAAATCCAGTTATCATCAACAATGAACTCAAGGAGGAAGAAGAGGAAAAGTTGTTGAGAATTCTAAGAAAACACAAATCAGCAATAGGCTGGAGCATTTCAGACTTGGAAGGTATAAATCTTTCTTTTTGTAAACATAGAATTCTATTTGAAGAGAAATTTAAGCCAGTTATGCAGCCACAAAGAAGGTTGAACCCAGCCATGAAAGAAGTAGTGAAGAAAGAAGTGATGAAGTTGCTAGATGCAAGGATAATTTATCCAATTTCTGACAGCCAATAGGTAAGTCCAGTCCAAGTTGTTCCTAAGAAAGGAGGGATGACAGTTGTGCCTAATGAGAAGAATGAGCTCATACCTACTAGGACTGTCACTAGCTGGTGCATGTGTATTGACTATAGGAAATTAAATGATGCAACTAGAAAAGATCATTTCCTATTACCATTTGCTGATCAAATGCTAGAAAGACTTGTTGGACATTCTTTCTACTATTTTCTTGATGGGTATTCAGGATACAACCAAATAGCAGTGGACCCTATGGACCAAGAAAAGACTGCTTTCACATGTCCATTTGGGGTTTTTGCATACAGAAGAATGCCATTTGGACTATGCAATGCTCCTGCCACCTTTCAAAGGTGTATGCTTTCAATTTTTTCTGATTTGGTAGAAAACATTATAGAGGTGTTCATGGATGACTTCTTTGTTTTTGGTAGCTCATTTGATGATTGCTTAGCTAATCTATCCATTATTTTGTAGAGATGTCAAGACACTAACCTTGTATTAAACCGGAAAAAATGCCATTTCATGGTACAAGAGGGCATTGTCCTTGGCCATAAGATTTTAGTAAAAGGAATGGAGGTGGACCTAGCAAAAGTTGAGGTTATTAGTAAACTTTCTCCACCAATTAATGTCAAGGGAGTTAGGAGTTTTCTAGGTCATGCAAGTTTTTATAGAAGGTTTATCAAAGACTTTTCTAAAATTGCAAAACCTCTTAGTAATCTACTTGTGAAAGATGCTGATTTTATATTTGATGATGCTTATTTACATGCATTTTCTGTTTTGAAAGAAAAACTGATTTCTGCACCTATTCTTGTAAAACCTGATTAGAATTTGCCTTTTGAACTAATGTGTGATGCAAGTGATAATGCAGTGGGTGCTGTTTTAGGATAGAAAAAGGATAGGAAATTGCATGTCATTTACTATTCCAGCAAAGTTTTAAATGCTGCACAAGTGAATTACACAACCACAGAAAAAGAACTCCTTCCTATTGTGTTTGCCTTTGACAAATTCAGATCATATTTGATGGGATCAAAAGTTATTGTATATATTGACCATTCTGCACTTAAATACTTGTTGTCAAAGCAGGATGCAAACCAAGGTTGCTGAGATGGATTTTGCTGCTACAGGAATTTGAGCTGGAAATTAGAGACAAAAAGGGAAAGGAAAATGAGGTAACTGATCACCTGTCTAGACTTCCATTGGAAAGTCTAACCCCTAACTCTTTCGAAATTAATGAAGAATTTCTAGATGAAAGGCTTCTTGCAGTAGAAGAGATACCTTGCTTTGCTGACATTGCAAACTTTAAGGCTACTCAATTCATCCCAAAGAAGTTCACTTGGCAGCAAAAGAAGAAGTTCTTACAAGACAACAGATTCTATGTGTAGGAAGACCCTTATTTATTCAAGATTAGGGTGGATGGTCTAATTAGGAGGTGCATTATACAAAATGAACAATCTGAAGTATTATGGCATTGCCACAACTCAGAATATGGAGGCCATCATGCAAGTTCAAGGACTACTGCAAAAGTCTTGCAAGCAGATTTCTTTTAACCTACACTCTTCAAGGATGCCAAGAAGTATGTTGAAAACTGTGATAAGTGTCAAAGAACTGGCAACATATCAAGGAGGCATGAGCTGCCATTGACAAACATTTTAGAAGTGGAGCTATTTGATGTATAGGGATTGACTTCATGGGACCCTTTGGAGTTGGAGCACAGAGCTTATTGGACTACAAAGTGGCTGAACTTTGATTTACCAATTTACCAAGTGCTGGAAAGAAGAGAATTTTGCAATTACATGAATTGGAGGAGTTTAGACAACAAGCTTATGAGAATGCAAAGTTGTACAAAGAAAGAACTAAGAGAATTCATGATAAGTTCATTATGTAGAGAGAATTCAAACCTGGACAACAAGTATTGTTGTTTAATTTCAGATTGAAATTATTTCCAGGAAAACTGAGATCAAGATGGTCTGGACCTTTTCTGATCAAGGAAACATCTCCCTTTGGAGCAATTCTGATTGAGGATCAAAAGATAGGGAGAGAATTCAAGGTCAATGGCCAGAGATTGAAGGTCTATCATGAAGAGGAGTTTACAAGGAATAACTCATGCATGAAATTGGTTCCTCTTGAGTAAAGAACATTTAACGTCAAGCTATTGACGTTAAAGAAGCGCTTTGTGAGAGGCAACTCACATTTCTAACTCATTTTAAGCTTTATGTATTGTTATAGAATTCTACACATTCATGTTTTACAAATTTCTGCAATTTCTGCAAATTTTCTGCTACATCTGGTTTTCTAAAGTGAATCTGATAAGTGATTAGAGGTTTGATGTTGTGAGAAGTAAATTTAAGGATTAGAGTGTGAGAAGTGAGTTAATTGAGGTTTTAGAGGCATTTGCTTAATGAGAGGAGTCACTATTTTGCAGAAAAGGAGCTACAAAGAGAGTAAAATTTGATGTTCCCCTTTGGAACAATCACTTTTACTGATAAAAGTGATCACGCAGAGGCATCAAGGTAAACACGCTCCTCTGGAACACTCACTAATGAGAGTGATCACGCAGAGGCAGATGGGAAAACATACTCTCTGGAACGCTCACTTTCCTTGGTAAAAGTGGCTATACACAGGTAAGTATGAGTTTTCTTATGTGCGTTACTCCTTTTTGTGAAAAAAGTTGCAAGATTGTTTACGCGTTATCACTTTGCCCAGCAATAGTGATAACGTGCCCCTCACCCAGAAA